TCTCTTAGAAAGTAATTCCGCCCGAGCATAAAGAAGAACGAAACGAAGACGAAATCGATTAGTGCAAATCATATCAGAGTGAACGCATGCCTGCCTCGCCGCTGTTCCTGCAATTCTTGCTTTGAGTTTATCGACAAAACTTAGGGCTTTCTCAGTAAAGCTACGACTTACAATGGAGAGAGTCAGCGGGAGAAGTCGGACAAAACGTGGAAGCTCTAAAAGTTCATAACACCGTTTATACAAAACGTCGAAGGTTTGAAAATGGTTCCGTTGGTTTTCTCTTAGAATTTTCTTCCCGGAGCACTCCTTAAAATTGAGAATTCAATTGAATTAACGAAGAAAATTTGCAGTTTCAGTAAAATAATTAATGTCCGACGTCTTTTATTCACTTAATCCACTGTGCGACAGCCTAGCAAGACAACATCGCACATTCCCTCTTAAAAAATTCCTGCAGAAAATATTCATTTATACTCTAACCTGTAAATGATTTTTTTCTCCCTTTCAATAAACTCCTTCATAGTACGCGGGTAAAGTTTGGAGAAAAAGCTGAGTTCACCATGGTTTTTTATAATGCAACGTTGAGGATTTGGTCGACTCAGAAGTTGCGCAGCTTTTCTTGAAAGTCTTTACGCTGTGGGCGTTCGAATTCCAAAACCACCGTAAGCCCGTGAGTGGACAGTTATTACCTTACGTACCCGGTCCTGTAATTGTGCTTACGGTGCTGACGATCAAAGCGTCACGTCTGTTCAAGCGCTGAGCCGCATTTCACGAGGAGAAATGTATGCTAGCCATGCAATGTCCGCGACAGTCGACGCTGTCGGTGCCGTAGAGACGTGACGGCGACCGCAACGTTTCGTTGGTGCCACGTAAGCGCTGGAAACCTCGGAAAACTCGGGCTTCCCATTGGTTAAGCCTCTTAAAGCAGCTTTAAGCTCAATATTGCCAAAATCGTGTTTAACCAGGGGACTGATTATTGACATTGATGGACAAAGCTATAGACAATGAAGACATTCTCTCGTGGTTTGCCGTTAGTTAGTCTATTACACTACTTGCGTGCCTTAAGTGCGCCTTAAGCCATGGTACTTCAGGAACCGCCTCAAAACTAAGTAATTATGCAGTGAATTTTATGGGAAAACGAGTTTCCGAGCTAATGGAAACTGGAAATAGCTTTTTTGACTGAAAAAAGAAGCGCAAAGTTGGAGTAATCGGGAAACCGCTTCTCGATGGCCTGCTTGAAACGTATGACATTTCAAACGGTAACGATAAGTCACAATGGACTAGACAAGGTACGAATTTAAGCAATCTGATACATGTTTCTTAACCAGAATTTCACGTAGAACACGATTCACACTACGAAAATTACCAAAATCAACTTCTAACGAAGATATTAACGTTTTTATTTCGCACTGATTACGAGGAATTTGAACTGCCCGCTCACAAGAAACTCAAAGCTCTACGTGAGTCAAATCGCGCACTACAACGGTTTCAGCAAGCTTCTCAATCGAGCAATGTTCATTTTCCACCATGTGTTGTTCAAACTATTGGTAATTTGCTACAGCTGAACCAAAGCGTCAAGATTGAGGTTTTCAGATTTTTATATCGCAGAGACTGTCATGATAACGTTTAGCGCGCGATGTGAATCACGCAGAGCATTGAGTTTTCATGAGCGGGTGGTTTGAATTCACGCATCAGGAATCGTTAAATATCTTCGTAAGGAGTTTATTTCGGTAATTTTCGTTGTGCGTATCGTGTTTTACGTGAAATTTTAGTCAAGAAACATGTTTCAGAATGCTGAAATGCGTACCTTGTCTAGTGGTCCATTATGACCGAAAACTGGAAAGTGAAAATGAAACTCGCGAGATTAACGCAGTGACGAGGCGTGAATGATCGCTTATCGATAATTCCCTATTCGAGCCATGCCATGGTACAGAATCGATCATTAAGGCGTTCGTTGCGAACACCCCGTCTATCGATCCTTTTCTATAGGTTTATATGGCAGATCAATCGATTTATCGCAAAGCACGCCACGCCACGAGGTGAAGAGTACACGATAAATTCTTCTCGTGATGTCACGGAACCCGTCATCGTCGGTTTATGTTTTCGTCTTGAAATGGTCGTGGATTTTTTTCGGAAAGACACTTCACACCTGATAACTCTTAAGGCCTTGTCTCCACGGGACGTTTTCATGGGATTTGTCCCAAGTTCGAATCGCAGGAATGAAACTTCTGGGATTTTTCCCAGTTACCGTCTCCACGGGACAGGGCTCATACAGTCCTGCGATTAGTTTTCGCGGGAAGATAAATTGGTTAAAATCGAGTGTTTAACCGGTATTAAAATAATAATTGCACTCAATTGACAATTAGACACATTATTTTAACTAAACAAACATTAACAATTCGCACAATTCGTTTTCACTTCTTCTTCTTCTCTCAGTGGGTCCTAGGGGTACAAGTACCATACTTGGCACTGGGAAAAATATTGATTAACTCAATATTTTTCCCAACTTCGTAAGTGGGATTTTTCCCTGGGACAAATCTCGTGAAACGGCTCGTGGAGACAAGGCCTTAGGATGTTTCTAATTCCGAGCATCGAGATGACGAGAGTGCGGCAACACGGAGACGACATGGAATGCCTGAATAATGAATACTCACTTATAGAGAAGAGCCGAGTCGGAGATGGCAATCTTCTGCTCCAGTGACCTCAGCTGGAAGTAGCGAGGAGCTTGCGGGGTCACGGGGGTCGCCAGTCAGGAATCGCTGTTCGTCCAACCTGGAGACCAGGATTGTATCGTACAACTGTCACTCGCTCCTTGGCCGTGCCCTCAGGCATCGTTTCAAATGAATGATCTTGTACCCTAAGTCACAGGGTGGCATGAAACGTGTCTGGAAATTTCAGTGAAATATTTCATGAAATTTCATAGAGCTGTGAAACATTTCAGGCATCGTTTCAAATGAATGATCGTGTACCCTAAGTCACAGGGTGGCATGAAACTTGTCTGGAAATTTCAGTGAAATATTTCACGAAATTTCATAGAGCTGTGAAACATTTCATGTTTTTCAGGGGCTAGAGTACTCAAACACACAAAAATAGAAGAAAGTCACAAATTTTACATTTTGCGGAACATGGAAAGGAACCGGTATCTTTCCATATCTTTCATAAATTTCTGATTATTTTCGTGAGATTTCAAGATTTTATTTTTCATGAAATTTTGCCACCCTGCTAAGGACCCGAGGTTCTTTTATCAGACCTCTTGGCTCCCTCAAATCAATGGGTCAGTTGCACTTGTCACAAAATCGTATTTTGATGGATTCAGCTCATGAGTTAGCAAAACTGTATGGAATCCATCCAAATGTCAAATGTTTGTGCTGAATATTGGCGAAGGAAAGGTATCGCACTTCGAAAAACAAGGCGTGTGACATCATCCACAGCTGTAGTTCATATCGTGGCTTCTTGCACCCTGGTTTCAGCCGTGCTTCACGGTGAGCAGAAAGTGCAAATGTGTGTATCACTGACTGATAAAATCAATTTGGCAGAAACTACGGCATGCGCTTCTGCGGTTGATGACATTTCATCTATATTCTGTATTCCTTTCCGTCAACGTTTCTTAAAAGTTTATAAAACGGTGTTTCGATTTCTTACTCCAAGCCCTGATTTTAGAAGGTTGCCCTGACAGTGTAAACACATGAGAAAGTGTATGTTGACTGAGCTAATGAAATCTGAAACATTCTAACCAACCCTTACAAACACACCCAAAGCAACCTTCTTTTAACCCTTAACATTTTAGCGTCCCTCACAAGGCATGCTTTCTGATCACCAATTTTCACGGAATCTCATGCCATTTGTCCCCGCAACATCTGAGTGTGCCGGATAATGTACAGCAGAATCTAGCACGACCTGAAGCTTCACCTAATTTATGTTCTTTTCTCTACTCTCAAGAGGTTTCAGTGACTTCAAAAAACTATAAAATTTCAAAAGACAAAAAATTCGAGTTGTTTCTTGAAAGTACCGTTCAGCTATATCTGACGCAGTTTATTCTTAACCAACCAATGTGTAATATCACTTCGCACCTTTCCTTTTTCCGCCTCCTCCCTCCCTTCCCTTCTCCTCTCTCAAAGGAGACTTCCTTGTTTTACAAGACCTGTAACACTCAGCGCAGCGTAACGTGCTGAAGTGTGGGTAGTGACCTTTTTCGGAACTCGCAGAACAGTTCGCAGTTCGGGGCGTCAAGTGATGATAAATTCGCTAGCGGCGGACGCGTGGAATGAGCGATCACTCGTGTGGATCTAATTTCGAGTGAAAGTAACAGTGACCGCTGAGGCCATTAAGTTCGTTTTCCATGTTGTAATCCAGATTTGTTAATCCCAATCCGACCCCCCTCTTCACGGGGTCTCGCTGGTTCGAACGTCGAGCGCGAGGCGAGGCAGTCCCATAGTCTCCCATTCTGCCGTGCTAAGGAAGAACGCCGTATGAACATCGAAAGTTGCCACATTTCCTTTGATCAAATGTTAAGTTTTGAGGAAAGCTGTAGATATTTTCCCTTGAAATTTTCAGGACTTTTCGGTGGAATTGCAAGCGAAAGTATCTGAAAATTTTGAGGAAAAATATTTCTAAGTTTACCAGGAAATTCGTATTTTATCAAAAGAAATGTGGCAACGCCTGAAGGTTCATACTGCGTTTTTCCTTAGCACGACAGCATTGCAGTGCCGCGGTGCGATGAGCAAAGATTGCCCGCGGTGTTGGATGGTTTCCGTCTGCCTTCTCTTCTTCAACTCTATTTGTCAAAGTTGATCAGGAAAGTTTCCAACATGATGAACGACTCTAGGGCTGCGAAGAATCATCCGTGTATCTGGCAACTAGTGGTCCTGAAGAAGAGCTTCCTCGCTCGGTGACATAACTTTTGTCTAAACCTAACTTTTTTTGTCAAACTATAATTGTGTATGTGAACGTAGCATATTTAGAAAAAGGAAATGTCTAATATTTGGTTGTTTTTCTTGTTGCAGAGGGCAGCGTTGAAGTCTCCAGAGAGGATAAATACCTGAGCACGATAGCGCCTGGAAAAGTCTTTGGAGAGCTTGCTATTTTGTACAACTGTAAAAGAACTGCAACGATCAAAGGTTAGTATTTTCTCATTGAGTTTCTATCAATCTCGTTGAAAGTTCTCTTAAGTACACAATCTCCCGATGTAGATGGACTTCGTTCGCACAAACACGCGCCCAAGTCGCTTACAGAGAGAAACCACTGCAAGTTAAATAGGTAGGTCAGGAAGGATCACAAGCAAGCTTGTTTTAAGCTCAGGTTTATTTGAAAAGTTTCGATCTTTCCTTTCCGACTGATTTTTCGATCATCAATCTTTCCGTGTTTTCAAAACTCATCACTGATTCTGTTCACTCTCCTTCCGTAAGCGCGGCCGAACCTCAAAAACCGTGCCGGTGTCAGAAGTGCGGTGAGAAATCCGCCAGTGGCGTGGCGTGCTTTGCGATATATCGATCGATATACCATTCAAACCTACGAAAAAAGATCGATTATCAGGGCATTGGCAACGAACATCATAATAATCGATTCTTTACAATAGCTTCAAATGAGATAATATCGATAGTCGATTATCACTCCTCGCCGCTGAAAACCGCATCTTCAACCAAGTTGACCTTGTACTTGCTCAGCGCCAGTCGCTTGATTTTGTCAGCGCATTGCATCGTTTTCGTTATTCATATTTTCCTGCCCCCCGCCTGCTCCCTCGATGCCTTTTTTGTAGTTGTCTCTTATCCCCGCATGGGAACTTTTAACTGTTGCAAGAAACAACCGGCAACATATTGCTGACGTTTAGCTTGGATCTCATCGGCCACCACTAATCCGACAGTTTCCGAATTCCAAATCCCCCTATTCGATTGGTTTCAATCTGATTGAATTCATTGAAAAAAACTTATAAAATAAATAGTACCTAATAAAAACTACATGAAAAAATGAAATCTGAATTATCGATTACTTTAGTCCGAAAACAGCATCAAGCCATCGTTCTTTTCCTCTCCCTACTACTTTTTGATGTTTCAACATGGTTTCTCGCAACTACTTTCAATTTCTCGTGCGAGGTTGATGGGATTAGTCGTTATGAGAATCAAGCATAGAATTTTACGAAGTCAAAAACGATGTTACTTGATTTTGACCAGGGTCATTTGTTTTCTTTTTTTATTATTATTCGGTCCAAAGTTAATTAGATGCATTCAAAAACATTAGTACAAGTCCATGATAATTTAATTTCAAATGTTTATTGTCTTAAAATAAACCTTTGGAGTTCGCTTTCACTTCATTCAGCCATATCATGCTCCTTTTAAAACCCAGTTGGTTGTAGTTTTTTCTAGTTCTATTAATCGTACTCACTAACGTCGTGTTTAAATTTTCGTTTCAGCTGCTACCGATTGTAAATTATGGGCTATAGAACGACAATGTTTCCAAACTATTATGATGCGAACTGGGCTCATCAGACAAGCCGAGTACACCGATTTCTTAAAGAGGTGAGTGTATCATACATCCAAGCAGCTGGGGCACTGGTAGTTTTTTCAGTGGTCTAGGATTTGCCTTATACTAGTAAAACAAGCGAAGCAGTGAAAATATGATTGCAACATTAGGATGTTTACTGTTTAGTCATTTGTGAGACAAATGTCGAGATTTTGTCCTCCAAATATAAATCTATCTTTCTCTCTCACTCTCCCCTCCTCGCTCTCTCCGCCTTTTATTATTCAACTCTTTCATAAATAATTACAAAAATTAGCTGATTGCACTCAAAAACAAAAACAGGAGAGGCAAAATTTACTCTGTAGTAATACGCATATTTTTTTACTATTGTCATAAATGTGGTGACTTTAAAATTTTCCTAATTTATGGCATTTCATGTACCAAATTAACTTGGAAGATTTGCTACAAATAGACAGAATAATTTTAAAAATGGAAAAAAGATTTTTGTTTTCAAACTTTAATCTTTTGTGGGTCTTGGGAGAAGAGAGTTTGACTTGTCCATGTTGATTTCTAGGAATGACAGAAATGTTACTCTCTGGTATTGCTATCTATTATTTTTCATTTTTCTCATCGAATAACGTTGATTTTTTTTCTTTTTCAGTGTCCCGCTTTTCAAAGACCTCCCTGAAGAAACGCTGATCAAAATTTCTGATGTACTTGAGGAGGTATGTAATATCCTCTACTTGTTTATTAAAAACTTTTAATTTAGAGAAATCAAAAGTCTAATCAATCACCATACCGATTCTTTTATTGTACCTGGGTAGAATCTGACAGTCTCTGTGTGTCAGGAATTTTTTCTTCCATATCATCCCTTCACGATCTTATAGTTTTTTGCAGGTAACTGAATTTTTTATGAACATGAAATAGGAAAACTGACTTCGAGATATTTTTTTAAACGTAATTATGAACAGTGGTGATCTGACATATAGGTTGCTAGCTGAGTCATCTCTCTATGTAAACTAATTTTTCTCAAAAGAGCCTCCAAATCCAAGGATACTCACTGGTGAGGGAGGGGTACTGGAATTCTTCTCTAAGTGTTGATCACTATAAATTCACGTTAAAATTTAGCAACCCTCACGAATCTTCAGTACCTAAGTTTCATCTGAAGTCGAAACTCTCTACGGGGAGTCTTTTAAAGTTGATTGCTAGAATAAGCTATGAATCTCATTTAGCCACCCGAAAATCTATCTTGGATTTATGAAACATATTCTCTCAGGATCTTTTAGAACAGCTTTATTAGGTTTTAAGACTGTAGCCTAATTTATATTACCGAGTCGATGCTCATGACCTTTTTCTTGAAATTAATTTTATTGCTAATTTTGAATTTAATATCATTTTTCAGACCTTCTATAATGATGGTGATTACATTATCCGACAAGGAGCTAGAGGAGATACCTTTTTCATCATCAGCAAAGGAAAAGTGAGTATTTTTGTTATTGTAAAACCAACTCATAGTTTTGAAATGTCCTCCATTGAGAGATCAACCAAACATAGCTCATCCTACTCAGGAGTATGCAAGAAACATGATATTTAATAGTGTTGAAAAATTAGCCACCGCCGAATTTCATGGTACATATTGTGTGCATAGTCCCTTAACTCTAGTATAATCACATTTGGTGATTTGTATTTGTTCATAATTAGAAGGTTATCAAGATACTTAAAAGTTTTAAGTCTGCGCACCATAATTAATTTTATAATAGAGTTTCTTTTTGAAAATGAGATTGGTTCTTGAGGGAGTCCTTGTTTTTTTTTTTTTTTACCATTGTTACCATTTTTGTTCTTCAATTCCATGGCATAGTTGCTTTAACCTTTTCAACGGTGATATTTATTAAATTTTCAAACTGATTGCACAACTAATTCAAGTACGAAGGCCTGGTTTGAGCTAGTTTTCGTAGTTAAAATGGCACGAGGCAAAAATTGTAAAAATTAATAAAATCAAAACGTCCCAATGCAGCACGAGCTGGAGAAACGTTAAAAAGGGTCAGCTGCTCTAAGTGCCAAGATTTTAGAGCCAAGTAGCTAGTAGAGCAGGAGTGTTTGGAACTAAAATTAATTTTCCTTTTTATTTTCACAGGTAAAAGTCACCATGAAACAAGAAAATAGTGCAGAAGAAAAGTACATACGGACCCTAAGAAAAGGAGACTACTTTGGAGAAAAAGCGCTACAAGGGTAATTTTTTTCCTTTGGTTTTTCCGTGACATATCCCCCCTCCTCTCTCTCTGAATTGTTTTTTCTTCCTTTTTCGTATGTACATTGATTTTTTATTCCGAAGTGTCTGCATAATCCCACCTTATGATCAGGCTTTAATCACTAATAACCAATAGCCAAATTTTTTTCAAATTTAATCAAATGGCTTTATCAACTTAATTTGATCCAGTGATATGTCATGCATATGTTGCTTTCAAGAGAGGTAAAAGTTTGTAACTCGATCAAAATTTGCAAATTTATGTGGAAGCATTAAAATACAGTTCTCAAAAAGAAAAAAGATAAAAGACTCGAAAAGGCCGGAAAAATAACACACTTGTAGTCATGAGATTTACTCTGATCATTGGTTAGGAGGGTATTTTAAGTCGCCTAATCATGCTCCCTACTTTGAATGTCTTAACTCAGGCTCTAATTTGTTTTGCTCAATTTTCAGTTATGACCTGCGAACTGCCAACATCGTTGCCGAAGGATCAGAGGGTGTTACTTGTTTGGTCATTGACAGGGAAACGTTCAACCAACTCATTTCTAATCTGGTTAAAGATCGCTCAAGATATAGAGATGAAGAACTTCCAAGAAAAAGGTGAGATTTTTTAACTACTGTCATTTCAAACCTGCAGGTACATTTACTCAAGGGTGAATAGTTTTCTGGTATCTCTGAGCTTACAGAGTTTTCTTACCCGGTGCAAAGCAAAAAGAGGAGAAACGAATGGCAAGTAACCATTACAATTAGTTTCAACTCGTTGGCCTGTAGCCATCATGCCTCTAAGAGTTAGTGATAGAAAACAAATTTAGAAAATTCAAAAAGTAATCAAACGAAACTATCAGCTAAATTATTATTAGATGAACTGAAACAAAATGAAAATTGTTCTTATTTTTCTCAGAATGCACCTTGGTTAATAAAACCGAACATTATTTGCTATCAAAGACTATAAATTACTGTTTTATAGGAGTATAAACTATGTAAGCTACATTTTTAAAGTTAAAAGAGAAAGATGGGCAATGAGTCAGCAAGTACGTCTTGTCCATCATCCTTTTCATCTAATTTTTAGATAGAAACAATAGGACTTTTCCTTCACGCTAAGAAGCAAGAATCAAATTTGGAACATAATTTGCATCTTGATCAAGCGACGATTAATCTATTTTTAAATCAGTTTTTTTTGATAATGGAAAGATTCTCACAAGCATACATTGCTACTATTTTTACTACTATTGCTAGAATTCTCTTTCAATGGGCCAAATATTATTGAAAGATTCTTGAAATTTGCTTCCTTTATTTACTCTGGTCGTTGATTTTTCTTTTTGACTACGGCCTCTCAGGAGTTTACAAAATGTATTTTACTTCCTGTCGGTGAGTATTAACAACAAAAAAACACTAGACCTAAGAAGCATGCGTAGACTTTTGTTCTTTGGTATTTCATATTTTGATTTATAAATGTATTTTAAATTTACTTCACATTGTTATCTTTCTTCGTGCTCTTCATGAACTGATTATACAGTAAAAATTCAAATTTAATTTGCAGAACTTTGAGATAGAAACGGTGATTCAATTTATTAGACAACTGTTTCATGAAAGAGAAATGATTTGACACTCTGTTGGTGAATACCTGAGCCAGAACTTATGTAGGAAGTGTTTACCAACCAGTTATTTCTCTGTTTTTGATTCGACTCATTGAATTGCATGTATTTTATCTTTGGACTCTTCAGAGGCGGATCCAGCAATTTGGCAACACCGGATTTCCTCCATTTAAACCTATGCTAAGTAATCGATTCTTGTCAGAGCACTTGGCCCCTCCAAGAATCGATACATTTCCATAGGTTTAAATGGAGAAAAGGCATTGTTGCCAATTTACTGGATTCGCCAGTGGGACTCTTTATTATTTGTTTCAATAATAGAATGGAGCTTCATATGGTTAAACAAGCATTCAATCAGACCTTTTTTTCTAAAAGGTTTTTAAGTACTAAACATTGCTTGTTCAAATTTTTGTGGGTTCTGAAATTTAACAGTTCTTTCCCCCAAAAATCAAAAATTATACTTATAGTTCTTTAAGCAGAGTGCACATTATTGCCTGCAAAGAATTTCAATCCCATTTATTCATTTATTTTTTGAACTGAAGATTTATTATGGGTTGGCTCTTTCCATTGATTTTAATTGAATGGCTGAAATGTATATAGTTTAATATCAACCTCTTTTTCTTCCCCATGTACTTTGCAAAGTGACAGTCCTTCAAACTGTTCAGTCCACTTTACCAGCACCTCAGTAAATATCGATGGTTATTTTTTCTTTTCTCAGGAGCAATGAAGAATTCCGGAACATTGGTCTTGAGGATCTTCGTGTTTTAGCAACGCTGGGTGTTGGTGGATTTGGACGCGTAGAATTAGTTCAAATTGCTGGAGATCCTAGTAGAGCATACGCTTTGAAACAGATGAAGAAATCACAGGTGAGTAACTCTTCTTAGAGAGGGATGAGTCATAGTCTCGTTTCAAAAAAACTGTTTATCCATTACCATATGCCGGTACTATATATGTAGATATTGTCGCTCCTCTAACGTAAGGGCATATCTCGATTTCGACATGAACCCTGTTCTTTGCATAACTCTGTGCTTTCCGGGGCTCATGTGTAAATCAAGATATGCCCATACATCGGAGGAGCGACGATATTTGCAGTCAAGTAAAAAATTAAAAAAATCAAGACCAAAAATGCTTAGATTTATGATTCTTTAAATTGACTTTGTAGTAAAAATACTTGCCCAGTCTGAAAACAAACAATGTTCAGGAAATGAATAAAAAATTCACCATGGGTTTAAAAGCGATTCAATGAAGAACTTTCTAGTGGCAAAGAAGTAGTACGGAGAGTCACTATATAAAGGACAAAACCAAAAGAAAGAGTGTGGATATTCTTTAAGACCAAGATATAAAAATTTTAATGATGTGAAGATTCCGTGTTCTGGCATGATATAAATTTCGTCAAGAATCTAGTCTGTGTATGAAGGAAAACAAAGCATCAATTTTACTTACCTTTTTTCCATGGTGTTTTCAAAAACAAAAAAATAGCACAAATATAATGCAAAATAATATCAAGCCTCTAACAAAAAATGGATACAAGTTGTACGGAAAATTGAATATACCTTGAGTTTAAATACACCCACCTTTGAATACATGCACTAGTCACTCAATAGTTGTTAACATTTTCCGGCTTCATTTCTTGATCTATTCACTTAATATTTTTTTCAGATCGTGGAAACAAAACAACAGACTCATATCATGTCCGAAAAAGAAATTATGGGTGAAGCAGATTGTGAATTTATCGTTAAGTTGTACAAAACATTCAAAGATGCGAAGTATCTTTACATGCTTATGGAGTCCTGTTTAGGTGGCGAGTTGTGGAGTATTCTCAGGTAATTTATTGTATTCATTGTATTTTTAAAGTTAGCTTCATGTCATGATGCCTGTAAGATTTTGAATGATCTTTAGAAAAAAAAGGAGCTGACAACCAGTACTAAAATGACAATCTTTTTAGGAATCATAACATGAATTTTGAAGTAGGTATTGAGTACGAATTTTAGAAAATCTGCAAGGAAGAAATGGAGGTACTTACCACAAGCCAATACCAGCATGATGAAAATTTTATAATAGAGGCTGGATGCAATGACCTGATGTAGATCATTGAATTCATAAAGTCATTATTCCATTTCTTTTAAATGGAAATAACCTGTCATTAAATGAAGGGACCCTCTAATGACTTTTAATGGATTTAATGAAAATTTTAACAGAGTTACCTAGGTTAATTAATCACTGTATATCGATGGTGTAAGTCGGCAATCACATATCTCGTTTGCGGTGTCTGGAAATCTCCGCCTCTGTGTTATTTCTTTAAAGGAGAACACATTTACATCATTCCTTGAAGTTTTTGCAGAATGTTCTTCGCATGGAGAAGAAAAATCACGGCAGTTTTAAAGAACTGCCGTTGAGTGGTTTTCCATTTCAAAAATAAAGTATGACAGGAAGTCTGCAACACTGCAAACCAGGTTATGTGATTGCCAACTTACACCGTCGAACCCTTTATGGTTGTCAGGAAAAGGAACAAAAATTTACTAAAAAAAATGTTTCAAGTTATGGTCTTTTAAATCATAGAATCTCTCAAAATCATATTACCCTGTTCTAGTGCCTACATTTATGTGATTTCTTACTCCAGAAAATGAGCAGGAATACTTTTTCAAAAAGAATTGCTCAAGAATAATGTATTGACGATTGGTATTTTTAAAGAAGTCTCATTTGCACAATTATTTTCAGGTTGGCTGCATTTTGAGGGCTGTACCCTCATCTCTGACGATTATCTGTGACCCGAGAGACTCAGAGAGTTGCAGTGTAGTTACTTAAAATGAGGGTTGCATCCTTGAAATGCGTTCCATATGAAATTAACTGTGCAAGGGAGACTTTTAAAAAAATATTGATGCTTTATTAATGTACTTAAGTTTGACTCGGAGGTACAAAAGATACTGGTGGCTGATGGTATGCAGTTATGCAAGCCCTTCAAATTGATTTTGCAGGAATGTACCTCCTTGCCATTTCAGACCATTAAAACTAACTCATATTAAATAAAATGTATTTAATTGGAAGCCAGATGATCTTCTGGTCCAAATAATGCAATTTTTACAAAACTGTAGGGCGGTAATTTTTACATATATTTGTTAAAACTTTCGCTTTGATTTCTAATTCTTTCTTTATTTTTACAGGGATAGAGGTCATTTTGATGATGAAACAACTAGATTTTATACAGCTTGTGTTGTAGAAGCTTTTGATTACCTTCACTCTAGAAACATTATTTACAGAGATTTAAAACCTGAAAATCTCCTTCTAAATAATGTAGGATATGTCAAGCTTGTAGATTTTGGTTTCGCCAAGAAATTGCAGGTAGGTTTTTGGCTCTTTATTTGATCCCATTTTGAGGATGCTTGTTGCTGTTTCTAATTTAGGTTAAATATCACACACTAGCAAGATTTTATCATTGGATTTTAGTTACATTTTCAAATGGAAATTCATCAATATGCTGTTGAAATTCGGCCTCTGAGTGTAAAAAAGGATTGAACTATTTTTTTAAAGGCATTTTTTCTAAAATATAATGCATTGCTGTCGCAATATATCGGTCTCCTATCTCCTCATGATATTGATGTCATCGTGACAATGTCAGGACAATATTGTCACATTATTTCTTTACCAGGTGGGTACCTTTCAAAGAGAAAAAAGGAAATACTATAATAGGAGAGTCAAATTGTCATTGAATAAGTCTGCCTATAAATTAACCATGATGCTGATGGAAGGAATTGCACCAGAGCATCAAAATAGACTGTGTAAATCTTTTCATTTCTCCATAATTGTAACTAAGTTTAATAATTGAGGTAAATCAATTGATTCAAACCTTCAAAGAGATTCATTTCATGCATCGGTCATGCATGGCATGCTATCTAAGAAAATGGTTTGAATGGAATTTTTCTGTCTTTATTTTCACTTTTTTTTTCTTGCACATAAAATAGACATGAAACATGCTCCTTAGATTTTTTCCCTGAAAAAGGGATAGAAAACCAAAGTTTTTTAAGTCTTTTTCGGCCTTATTATCCCCGGGAATGCCGTAGAGGTCATTTAGTTTGGTTCCCTCTATTTTATTTGTTCTATTGAAAAATAGCCTCAAAATTTGGTGACTGCAATTCTGTATTTACTCCAATTAGACAAAGTGAATGGGATACACAAATGTGCTGAGACTTGTAGCTTTTAGGATTGCGTGGATTACATTGTCACTCAAATAGTATCTACCTACATTCTAATATTAATTTTTTTCCTATTTATTCAGCCTGGTAGGAAAACTTGGACTTTTTGTGGTACCCCTGAGTATGTAGCACCTGAAGTCATTTTGAATAAGGGCCATGACATAAGCGCTGATTATTGGTCACTTGGTGTTCTGATGTTTGAGCTTTTAACAGGTAATTATTCCTCAATTTTGTTGTCACAAATCTGAGAAAATAACTCCTTACTGTGAATTTGGCTGTTCGTTTCATTTTAGACTTTCGTGTGACTCTTGAGCCATTCAAGTTGGTAGCAAAGCAAGCAATTTGTACTTTGAACATTATAAAAGAGCATACCTAAAAATTGAAAGAATTTTCATCTATCTGAAAGACATATTTTGCCTTGTGTGTTTTAAATTTCTTCATCTTTGCCTCAAGATTCTTACTTCTAGTGAAATAGTACGAACAAACAGAACTATCGATTTTTGTCTTGATTGTGTATCATTCTCAAGTGTGTAAGTTTGGTTTGATTTTAAGTTATGCTTCACAATGGCAGCAGTCTCTGTACAAGTCGATGGTAATTAATGTACCTGTGGTTCCTTTAAGTGAATTTTGAACTTTATAGATATGGACCTCTATAGAGAAACCAATTTTCACTCTCTTCCTTTTTGTGATTCAATCTACCTTTTTCTCCTATCTGTAGGAATGAATCATCTTTTATCAAATACTGGGACAATTTTTAGTTTTCTGTTGAATAGAACTTTTGATATAAAATAAACTTACAAAATTGGATCGCTCCCTCAAATTAAAAAATCCCTATTTAGGAAAAAATTGGAAATGCTCACTGCCAAGCTTTTGTAACAAGTAGGTTCCTTCTCTAGAAATGAAAGTCGTTTTAATGCAGAGCATCCTTTAAGTATTAGTTTCAGATTTTTTTCTCCCTTTTCTTTTACAGAAACACAGTTTACAATAATAGTTGCTCATTCTTTGCCATTAATTTAAACGCACAGAAAAAATTAAATTGCTGATAAGTACCCCTGTGGTTAAATTAGCTTTCCCCTATCGTAAAATGTACATTTGAAACTTTGCTGTCACTTTTCTAACAATTGTATTGTTAAATCAGCAATCCATTTTTTTCCGTGCAGAGTTGTCTGCTGAGAATGTGTGGCTGAAACTTTTGTGGAAAATATATTTTTGAATGTCCCACTCTTGGTATATGGATTTACAATGCGAAATTTTCTTTTTTCAGGCACGCCACCATTCACAGGAGCTGATGTGATGAAGACTTACAACATTATCCTTAAGGGTATCAATGCTATTGAATTCCCAAGAACAATCACTCGTAATGCCACAGCACTTATTAAAAAACTATGTCGGTAAGTACTTACTGAGGAAGGCAATCTGTTATCATTATGAGCTCACTATCATAATTTAGGTTTTACTCCTCCCGTAACTTCATTTTGACTATTAAGCGATAATTGAAGCTTTGAGGCAGAGATCCACCAAAGTGAGAGACAGAAAACTCTTTGCTGGTTTCAAAGACTCATGACTAAGATGGAAGGCATCCCGTCCTCTCTCTTTGCTCTCTTTTGTGCAACTTATTAGAGATGCTCTATCTTGAAAAACCATTTTCTACTACCATATTTTATGATTAGAAGGGAGTTTTGAGGTAGAGAAAGGGGTGTAAGTGGGATCATTCTTGAAGGTTCTGAATCAAAAGGATCCAGTTGTGGTAGTATTAAGCTTGCCTCAAGTTAAAGGGAAAATTTTACAAAGAAGAAAACAATAATGAACACGATGTGTGACCTATATAGCAGCAGTTAAGCTCTCCTCCTGCAGTTTCTCATTTTCAGACCAAAATCTTGTTAATGACTGGAAACCTTGTTGGTCCAAGTAACCGACTGTCCTTACATGAGATCATGAAATGAAAAATGCTTGAAGAAATAAATACATAAATGGCCTAAAGGGAATACTGTAATGCTTATCTGCATACTTTTTGTAATTGATCTTTCTTCATTCTTGGTACAGAGGAGAAAAAAATAATGACCAAAAGAACTGGCAAAATATTGTCATCAGGGTATAGAATAGGTATTCTTTTGCCAGAAATGAGAAAGTTTCAGTGCTTTTCAAAGGGTCAAATTTTAGTTTGGAGCCTCTATGCCATCCTCTAAGACCTCTTTTTTATCATTTTAAACTTATATTATTCAAATCTTACCCTGTTTTCTTTTTCAGTGACAATCCTGCTGAAAGACTTGGCTATCAAAAAGATGGTATTAGCGATATACAGAAACACAAGTAAGTTTGCCTGCTATATTTGGGAGCGAAAAATTCTCCCTGTTAATTTTAATTTTTCTGGTACCTACTCCCAGTTGCAGCTCTTCCCCTAGATCAACTTAAATTAAAAATACAACAAAATTTACCAAGAAAATTAATAGGTTAAAGCATTCTCTCAAATTAGAGAATGGAGTCTTTGGTGGCGGTGGTGGTGGTGGGGGGGGGGATATTAAGTTTGAGAATACTTGGTTGCAAATTTGAAATTTCAATAATGCCAATGGCTCATGTTACAGAATCTCAGGTTTTTTAAAGAATCCTCAAATCTTGATTCTCCTGTTTAATTTTTCTCATGCTCTTTATCATTTTAGGTGGTTCGACGGATTCAACTGGGAAGGTTTGAGAAACCGTTCATTGAGACCGCCAATCACGCCAATGGTGCGACATGTCACAGACACAAGCAATTTCGATGACTACCCTCCTGACCCGGATGGACCACCTCCAGACGATCTTTCAGGATGGGACTCCGAATTCTAGTCTACTACCATGATTTTAGCAATTGACAAAATTCAAGACAAAATAATGTTAATTGTACCATAAATGCATTTTATTGGCTTGCTTTCAGCCCTCAAGTGCTAGTCATCTACTTTCATCAACGAAATCTGGCATTATCTTTCATTTTCATTGCCTTGACATCAGCACAATAGTAAAATGATTACATATTTTCAATGCCTAAATTGCTGTGGGACATTGGTTTTCTTCTCATATAAATAAATAAATAAATAATAAGTAAATAGGTCCATAAAAATTGAATGACTTTGATCAATTTTTCCAAATTTACTATGACCTCAAACAGCAATAAAGAACTGTCTGAAAAATATTGTGAACGTATAATAATATTTGAAATACTTGCAGAATATTTTCCTCATTTTCTTTAATTTCAAAAATTGAAGAAAGATAAAGAAAGTAGATACACAATTTCTTTCCCCAAAAAAATTAAACGTGGAAAATCTTAAGGAGGGCTGAAAAGCAGCATCAGTCATTTTCTGCATCGGCACTGCTGGGTTGATGGAAGTTCAACTTTCAAAACTCTTGTTCTCTGAATCAAAAATACCTCCTTTCAAAAAATTAGTTTTGTATAGAGTTGTACATAAGTAACAAATTACTTCCTTTATATGTTGTCCAATGCAATAGATCAAAATCCATCTGTCAATCGCAATCTCCCAACGTGCCTTATTTGCCAGAAATATTCTGAAACTATTAATGTCTAATTCTATGACGGAACATGAAAGCATGAACAAATACCGAGTTTGTTTATGACATCTTTGATCCTTAACTACCCTGTTGTGTGATTTATTTTTGTAAGATGTACATTTTAAATTGTATCTTTTAAGGATTGTGATGTTTCAAATTAGTATCTAAATTGAAGCTGTTCTTTTCAATCTTATTCTGTTACTTATTGTGTAGAGTAAAAAATGACATAGAGTTATTTTTCAGTTGGTGTACACCTATGAATTAGTAATTTCTAAGAAAATGAATGTTGGTGTAACTCTTGACGAAGAAAAAAAAACCTTCAATATTTCATCTTTTTCAATAGTAGTTATCATTAACATTTTAAATTATTTTATTTCATAATTTATTAATTTGTTACGTTTTTGTTATACTTTTCTCCAAAATGTTTGCTTTGAATATTTTATATTTTATGTAAAATAATGTTGTTTATCATTGGTTTTATCTGAGGATTGCTCTTATGAGTTTAAATAATAGGGACAAGAACACTTAAGTTTTATAGTAAAATATTCGCTATGAATCCCTTTTTTTCTTCCACAACAACTAATAACCTTAATATTTATTAGAAGTTATCAATGAATTTTGTTATCTACTTCCAATGTATGATTAGTAGAACCAGAAGTCCAAAATAAACTGCCAACTAACATGAAGCAAATTTTAGGTAACATTATTATGTCTACATTTTGGAATATGAAGTCCAAAACTTGTTTTGACTATCTCTTAGACACCATCTTAATCATGAAGCCATCACAAGAGTTCTTCATGGATTCAGACGTCATTAATATTTGGTCACTTCAGTTTGACTCTGAACTATGACATATTTGCTCTTCAGATGTCAACAATGGAAATTATAAGGATTTACATCTATACTGCTTTCCTAATCGAATTAATTATTTTATCGATTTCGACGTCTATGTTCAGTTGAAATCCAAACCAGTTCAAATATTTCTTGAATGATTCCTCCGTAGTGTAGGTTTAGGTTAATTCTGTCAATGAAGGCTGGTCCTATTTCAATTTGAATCCTGTTCAGAATGTATGCCTAGCATCAGACTGTAACAGTCTTCATCTCCCTGTAAATGTTAGGTATGAAAAAAAAATTGTTGCTGTTTTTTCAAGTATCTTTTTCCGTTGATTTTTTTTATCTCCTAAAATATATCCTGCAGTTAATTTCTGATCAGCAGTATTTACTACCGCCAAATAGTGCCTTAAGAATTGTAACTTGACGTACAAACAATTGTAATTTTTGTTCAAAAATTACAATACCTATTTCAGATGTTTCTTCATGTTTCAGTTTCTTATCTAATCCATGAAATCATATTCAATGTATCCCTGGTCTAATTTGTGAATGAAGTAATAATATTTTTTTTGTTCCTGATTTAATGCTCAACTCTGACAGGAGACAAAATTCATCACTCTCAGATTGTGCAATCGGTTACTAAATTGGTGCCTTTCTGTTAAGCTCCACAGTTCAAGACCTGCTTACCTTTGATAATTTCATAGCGTAACACCCACATATTTAACTGTAGCAAGTTATTTTATACTAATTTTAAAATCATGAATTATTTTTGTATGTATTGTTTTGTACACATATACAAAAAAAAATAAAGTAATTTTTATCCTTTTTAAAGCTAATTTATTTTCTGTGAATCCTCTTATGGTAAATAAAATTTTGAACACTGGGTGGCAAGAAAATCATAAATAGTTCCATCCTTATTTATTATTTATTTATTTTTTTTCACTCAAAGGGGTGAATTAACCGAGTCCAACGCTAGAAGAGCTCAGAAGAGGTAGTAGGTACTAAAATTATGACCTGAAAACTTCCCAACTTACGTAACTTTAGCTACTGAACTTGAAAGTGACCTTGGTTTTTTTTTAAATCATGGATCATTGTACCCCTGAAAATTGAATTAAAATTGAATTTTCCTTACAAGACTAAATTTTGTTTTAAAAAAAAAAATCACCCTGATTTTACAGAGAGATGATTGTAAAAAAAAACAGGGTCATTAAAATGAACATTAAATGGTGCTAAAAATTACGTAGGTGTCAACTACTACTTTACAGTAAACAGCAGTGTTTTGGATTTTTTCTTTTTTACAACCCAAGTTATTTCTTTAATCAGTGAACTTTGAGCACCTATTATTATTTAAATATGTCACTAATTTAGCCAACATGGCACGGTTCGTTTCAGAGGGAGGTAAATAAAATAGTGTTGCCCACTCAAAATTCCTTCGGGATCTTGAAGTAGGATGCATACACAGTCATTTAAGCCTAAAATGAAAATATTCTGTCGAGCTCTTCGAAAATAAAATCGATTTTTGTGTTTTTGGCGCTAAAATGGCCTTCAAAAACGATCAATGTTTCAATTCCGATGGGTTGTGCATATGCAAAATGGTACATGTATGATGAAATCTACGTATTTTTGGACCAGGAATCGATTAAGCAGGGTCCCGAATCGGTTCGAAGCTTCATTGACCGAAAAATGGGCCTTTTTTGGGATTTTAGGGATGTTTTGGGCCCATTTTTTCCCAATTTTGTCGTGAGAAAATCTGTGCCGTCATGGGTATTGATTATTAGGTAATTTCGGGCGAGAAATCGAATGCGCTTGGTCCCGAGTCACTTCGGGGCTTCTTAGGCCGAAAAATTTTTCTCGGCTTGGTTGGGTTAAGATTATTTGTTTGACCGAAAAAGGAGGGAAAATAGTTATTCTGCATTTATAAATATTATAAATCCACAAGAGGAGTTCATTTTTCGAGTCCAAATTTATACCGTCTCTTCATAAAGCGCATACGATTTCTCGTCAGAAGGTCTTTGAAAAAGAGAAATTGATGTGTACAGCATATTTTCTCGGTCGAAATAAAAATTATTGATAGGAATACCGCTGATAGCGCCGGTGGATGTATTCCTTTGGATATCTCGTAATTGATATTGATTTGTTACGTTGCAGCACTAGAAATTGAACTAGATCTCATGATCAGAGAAATATGTATTTGGAAAATTTGTCCAAGTATCATGAAAAAGAAATATTCCTCATACACAAACCACAACTTACTTATTCAGGAGTCTCATTTTAAAGTCAAAGAAAGGCCAATTTCAGCATCCAGTTTGAACATAAAAGACAAAAAATATTTTCAAAGCTCTTCCGGAGCTCCACCTGGGCCTACTGCGTATTCTTGGATTAGGAAGCCCCGGATTGACTCGGGACCAAGCGCATTCGATTTCTCGCCCGAAATTACCAAATAATCAATACCCATGACGGCACAGATTTTCTCACGACAAAATTGGGAAAAAATGGGCCCAAAACATCCCTAAAATCCCAAAAAAAGGCCCATTTTTCGGCCAATGTAGCTTCGAACCGATTCGGTACCCTGCTCAATTGATTCCTGGTCCAAAAATACGTAGATTTCATCATACATGTATCATTTTGCATATGCACAACCCATCGGAATTGAATCATTGATCGTTTTTGAAGGCCATTTTAGCGCCAAAAACACAAAAATCGATTTTATTTTCGAAGAGCTCGACAGAATATTTTCATTTTAGGCTTAAATGACTGTGTATGCATCCTACTTCAAGATCCCGAAGGAATTTTGAGTGGGCAACACTATTTTATTTACCTCCCTCTGAAACGAACCGTGATGGGTGTTTCTCATTGTCCTAAGGTCAAAAATAAAAGACCACTGTGCTAGAACCATCAAATCTTTTGGGCCAAACAACCTCCCTTGATGGGACACATTTTGAATATTTTGCTACCAAATTTTCAAAGAAGTTTGTTCGTAATTTTATTTGAAATGGTCAAAGGAAAATATTCATAGCTTTCCTTTAAAATAGTACTTTTTCGAAAGACATTTGGTAACATCCGCATGTACGTGCGTCATGCGATGTTTTTCCTTAGCATGGCTGTGCTTGTCTATCAAGTGAATGATAATTTTCCAAATAAAAGTAAGAGGCAGGACCTCAAAATACAAAGAATCATTCAGAATGAAATCATTTGTCGGATACAACTTAATTAACTTCGGTGTAGTGTTGGGTTGCGTCGCCTAATTTGAAGGCGAACTAGCAGCGATTTCGTAGCGAAGTTATGCGGTGCTCCAACCGTTGCACCGTATGTAGCAATATCATCCTTATTTCGAGATGAACGAGGATTTGTAATTGAAGGATAAAACCTATGCTGCCTTGTTAAAAAAAAAAAAATGCCGTACGAAATTCGCTGTAGGACCAGGCTGGCATGAAACGTAAGGAAGAAATGAAACATTGGAAATTTCAGCGAAACATTTCATACAATTTCATGCGGCTCTGAATTATTTCATCTTTTTCAGGGGCTACAGTATGCAATTCGTGCTCAAACACACTAAAATAGATAGAAGTCACAATTTGTACATTTTGCGAAACATGAAATGGAACCGGTATTTTTCAATATCTTTCATAAATTTCTGCAATTTTTCAGTGGTGAATGCATAGCTGAAGTGCGCTTTAGCTAGAATTGTATTTAGCAAATGGGTGGTTTTTCTACGAGGATTAAAAATAAATGAGTGGCACGGAATATAACAAAAGAATATGAACTATGCAAAACGTTAATCCGGGTATCGGAACTTGGCTGATTTAAAAACGCCTTCAAGTGCGGCGTGCTACCTCACGCATTCCGGAGAGTTCAAATAGTTGTATCATTGCGCCGTATGAATGTGACGGAAGATTTAAATGGAAATAGCCTTCATGCAGGCTCGCCACATCCCATCTCGAGTCCCGGTACCAGTTTTAAGGTCCGGGCCCCAAGCACGGAGAGAGGGGGGTCCGAGGGGCATCCCCCGAGAAATATTTGAATTTATACGACTAATCGGACGCATTTTGAAGCTTCCATAGAGAATTTTCCATCAATTTCTGCGGAATAATTATGTTTTTTTTATACTTTCAGCACAAAATACTTGCGAATTGTTGCATTCAAAACATCTGGAAAATTTTTATTTTGGGGGGGGGGGCATACGATACTATTTTCAGTTCTATGAGGGCCAGCCCCCCCCTGGACTCCCCCTTCGTTTGTCTATGGCAAGGGAGTTGAGCCATGAGCCATTGAAGTCGAGGATGCCCAGACTGGAGACTCTTAGCATCCGTCGACGGAAGAAAATGAAACGCAGTTTCTAAAAATATCCCTCTGTACTGAAAATCTTGAAAATAGATAGAAATTTTCCAAGATGTATACTTCTTTGAAAATTTAAGAAGAATTCTACAGTGCCCCAGCGTGTTTCTGAAAGTCTATTCACCTTTTGCGAAATTTTTAGGGTAAATTTTTCACTTTTTCTTACGAAACAAGGGTTGCATGTGAATTCGTAGTGGTTTTTCACGGGTAACACGGGCCCCGATACCAGGGACCCAGTATCCCCCCCTTTGTGGCGGGCCTGACTAGGTGGTACATTTTCTCACTTTTAAATCTATTTTTATACTATTTCCCATATCAGAAAAAATTATAAAAAAATACTGTGAAGTCAGCTTTTAAAGCACTTTCAGATGAAGCAACAAAAATGTGCATGCAAATTCTCCATTTGACGATACTTTTGCAATTTTTGGCAATCTCTGCTGTTTGGAAAGAAGGTTTTGCGTTGACAAGGTAAAGCTGAATTGAGCTTAGGTGGTATACTGCCGTGCTAAGGAAGAACGCCGTATGAACCTTCATTGCCAAATTTCCTTTCATAAAACACTAATTTTTTGCAAAACTCATGAATATTTTTCGTCTAATTTTTCGGATGATTTTGCTCGAAATTTCAACGGAAGTTCCTGAAAATTTCAAGGAAAAATATTCATAACTTTCCTCAAAAATAAACGTTTTACTGAAGAAATTTTGGCAACTCTACATTGTTCATACGACGTTCTTCCTTAGCACGGCAGTGTAGAACCGGCGGTCGTTGGTAGAAGCAATCTCAATCGGCGACCGTTGCTGAGCCTGAGAGACTTACGGCGCGGCGCGGCCACGGCAGCGCAAGGTGCAAAAAGGATGGCGACCGGGGACTCAAAAACAAAACCGGATGTAAAAGGTCGCTCCGGTCCGGTGCGGCGCGCGGCGGGACGCGGCTATCAATGTATCAATGCGTTCACCTTCTATGACTGCAAATACCACCTCCAGAGCCCGGCCGAGGACCGACCCACCGACCCCAGCTCGGATGCGGTGCCGCTATATGGTGGTAAAAAATTGTGCTAAGCAAGTGATACTCTCTTAGAATCATTGTTGCTGCACTGGAAAAAAACACATTGGATCTCGAGTCCAGACTCTTAAAAACGTCGACAAGAAAAAATACTCTTGATTCAATCGGATTTTTGCTTAAATCAAGAACCAAACCTCTTAATTTGAGCGGATTTCCTTTTGATCTAAGCAAAAATCTGATTGAATCAAGAGTATTTTTTCTTGTCAATTTTTTCGAGAGTCTTGACTCTACATCCAATGTGTTTTTTTTTCCAGTGTGGCATCGGCTTTACATTTATACGTGCTGCTCATAGAAAAGCAAAACAATTGGACTGCATTTCGCAATTAGGAACTGCAATTTTTGGTTCACTCGTGAAAACATGTTTGTGCATGGAGTAATTATACATACGTTACTCCTGAGCTGAGCCAGAAATTGTAGTTTCTATAATCGCAAAATG